CGGCTTTTTTCTTTTTGCTTATGTGGTGCTGAGGAATCGAACCCAGGGCCTCAGGCATGCAAGGCAAGCGCTCTACCACTGAGCCAACTTCCCAGCCCTTTAGTGAAGCTTTCTAAAAGGGTCAACAATGTCCAGTGATAACATTGGTCCTCTTTAGTCCAGATAGGTAAGATTACATCTTCCCTGCTCTCTTTGAGGTTTGAGAAAGTGGGGAGAGGGGATCGTCCCTCATCCATTGGACTTGAAAACTTGACCTCCATGGGTCATTCAATCTTGTAACAGTATGTTGAGGCTGTCCACAAATGCTTCTTGTGACTAATACTGCTCAGAACATCTTGTAAATCATAGGGCTTTTTAGATCTTTACACACACACACACGCACGCACGCACACCCTGTTATTCATTTGGTGTTTGAGTTCAGAATTCTACAAAACCTAACTGGTATTTTTAATGCTATAATAAAAGTATAAAAACAGTGCTATCTGCAGTGGCACAAACTTATAGTCCTAACTACTGTGGAAGCTGAGGCCCTAGGATTGTTTGAGTCCAGGAGTTTAAGGCTAGCCTGGGAACCAAGCAAGACCCTATCCCTACCCTGCCTCCCCCCCACCCCCACCCTCACCCTCTGCCAAAAAAAAAAAAAAAAAAACACCTGTCAGGAACCTAAAGTTGCAAGTTAGTAGATCTTCAAGTTTCTTATTTCTTTAGCACAATGCAAGTAAATTTCACTCTTCTCCAACTTCAGAGAGATCTTTTTCTGAATAAATTCAGCCCTCAAGACTTAAAGGGACAGGAGGACCATTTCCTTTTTCAGAATGGATATTAGGAGTTTGAATCTTGAAAGCCTAATGGTGCAGAGATGGTGGCTCATTCAGAGAAGTTTGAAGAATACTGTGTAAACCAGCTGGCCATATTGAAGGAGCTGGGGATGGTGAGAGAAACACCTGAGCAAGTGAGAAATTCTTCTCATCATAGTTTTATATGGCCAAGACTTTGAGGTGCTTCCTCCAAATGGGCAAGTGCCAAAGGAAGTCAGTCGGGACTCACATTCTCTTGGGGCAGTGCTGAGCTGGGCTGACCTTAAAGCTCCTGGCTACAGACTTCATTGCCCTGCAGACTCAGAAAGATACTTGGCCTACTCAAGAGAATGTAACTTGCTTTAGTGAATGTATGATCAACTTTGTTGAATAATTTGTTCTAATCAGGATGTCTGAATTATGTTATCTCTTTATCATAGTACATGGTATCAAGATTTAATCACTGGTCTAGTTTAGCAACATTTGTTCAGCTATGGTTCCTATAGAACACTCAATCGTAAAATACCTTACACAGACTTTCAGTATGGAATTTTTACTTCATATATTGTTACACATAATTTCTAGTGATGTTAAATTATTGGCTTATCTACTAATATATGCTGCGTTTAAAATAAATACATCATATTTCATTAATTTGGTGTAAATTTTATTACCAATCTTAGTCTGAAACCTCAGCCATATGTTGTTGGAGACAGTTCTTTGATCATAATTTTTCTCTAACTATAAATCCCTATTTTGC